GATTTGGCCTGTGAACTTGTTGTTATTCAAGTTTAACACCGAGAGGTTTTTCAACCCAGATATGCCATCCGGGATATGATTATCCAGGATATTGTTTCCCAGATTCAGGGTGCTAAGAGCAGTGAGGTTGGAGAAACTAGATGGAAAGCTACCATTAATGGCATTATCAGAGAAATCAAGAACCAGAAGCTTAGACAGACTACCTAGCTCATCAGGTATGGTACCGGAAATGTGGTTGTGGCTAAGGTTAATCTGTTGAAGCAGACTCAACTTGCTAAGAGAAACTGGGATTTTTCCAGAAAGGAGATTGTGATCCAGGGTCAAGAACTGGAGCTTATAAGAAGTGTTTCTTGCAACCTTACTACCCCAAGAATCAGGAACAGAGCCAGAGAGATTGTTATGCTGAAGAGCAAGAAAAATAAGAGAAGGGGATTGAGTAAAACTTACTGGGATTGAGCCAGAAATGGCATTGAAGCTCAGGTTCAAACGGTACAGCCTGGTGGACTGTGCAAGACTGGGAGGGATAGTGCCACTGAGCTGATTGTTACTCAGATCAAGAGTCTGCAACAATGGGCATCTCCCAATCGAGGCTGGGACCGAACCCGAAAGGCGATTGTTGAAGAGATAAACGCCTCTGAGATTAGGAAGGAATCCCAGAGAGGTGGGAACAGGGCCAGCAAGAGCATTGTCATGGAGACTAAGCTTCCTGAGAGCCTGGAATTGCCCAATTTTCTCAGAGATTCTGCCACCCAAACCTTTCCATGGGAGCTGGATAGCAATCACCTGCCCATTCACACACTTTATCCCCACCCACCCTGAACAAGCCCCAACCCCACTGTCATTCCAGCTCCTCAGAACTCCCCTGGGATCAACCAGTTCATGCTTCAAAGCACTGAGCGCCTGAAAATCCGCCTGAGTAACCACAACCCCATCCCACCCCTTGCTCCAAGCAACCTGAAAACTCAAAAACACTAGCACAACAGTAAACAATACCCCAATGTTGCTCCATTTCCCCAGTTTATCCATAAAACTTTAAGCAAGAACAAAGGGTTTACAAGAAAAGAAAGAATCTGGGTTTTTGTTCTCTCTTTTCCTCTCCCTCTCTATCTGGGATTTCAAGCTTTTCTTGGTTTAACATAAACTGAAGAAGAAGAAGAAGAAGAAGAAGAAGAAGAAGAAGAGAGAATAGAATCTATACAGAAAACTAAGTGAGTGAGCAATATGGTGATAACAAGAGAAGAGATATACTAAATACTAAGAGAAGAGAGAGAAAGAGGGAAGAGGTGGGACTGAACAAAGCATGTGGGGATCTTACTGAAGAGAGAGAGAGAGAGAGAATCTTAAGAGGTTTAACAATGGAGGTGGCGAACGTATACCGTGTGTTTGAGGATTTTCACGTTTAGTCTTCCTCCCCTGTAACGGCTAGTCGAAATGGGAAGACTTTTTTTTTCTATTTTTATTCGTCTTTTTGTTCGTTGATTGTTCTTTCTTTCTTTCAGGGGTCCAACGGCTATATTTAGAGGGAAACAGTTAATAAACATTCAGACATTATTTATTTGGACTGAATAAACTCAATAAAGTATCTTGCAAACGTTATAACTTGTAACGTATTATGTCCCCTTCCAACCCCCACTTATCTGTGTCCTATACGTTAATTAAAATGGACCCACTCATCCAGTGATGGACCTACCTACAACACCTCTTTTATTTATTTATTTATTTAAGACCTTATTTAAGAAAAATATGAGTTAAGGTGTTGCGTTCCCATGTTATTTAATTTAATCGTGATTTATTTATTTACCATTTTATTGAGTTAGGGTGTGAAGAAACTTACGATGAAAAATTTTATTTTCTATAGACGTGAAAATATCAAAATAATGTATACTCTCGTACATGACATGTATTGGTTACGTTGAACATAATATTACAAAAAAATAAATAAAAATTATCTTCTAAATTTAATGATCAATTAACACGTCAAATAGTAAAAATACAGACAAAGCAGCATGTGTAATAAAACTTCATATTAAATGGGTATATATGAAGTTAGTCTATGCATAATTGGCATTGGCTAAAGAAGATAGTTGAATCAAAAAGTGTGAAATAAGTCGTTAATTTTTTGTAATTCGTATAATTAGATTAATGAATAAAAAAGATGTGCAATTGTAACATTTAACACACAAAATTTTTTGAAATTATCATTATTTGACATTAATTTTACAAGCATCCAATGACAAATGATTTGGCATTATATTTGACGTATAAAGTGGTTTTTTTTTTTTTAATAAATTGATAAATATAATCTAATATATTATTAAAAATAAGAGAATAGAAACGTGAAGCCAGCCAATTTGACTAGCAAAGAAAACACAGTGTTTGCTTCCTCGTCATAATGAGAGTATACAGGTGAACCATGTGTTTAGAGAACAAAACAAAATGGTCGACGCGTTGGCAAAGATGGCTTTGAAGTCAAAGAAGGACTTTTTGTTTCTTCCTCAATCGAAAAGCGAGGTTTTTGAGTTGCTTAACGATGATGTGTTGGGTGTACCGATTTCCCGTCTTGTTAATACGGGTAACTAATCCTTGGGGTCTCCCCCCTCCAGTGAGAGAAGGGACGAGTTGCTTTGTTAATTTGAAGAGTTTGTTAGTTGGTGGCCGGGGCCCAGCTGATGAAAGAAACAATTGCAGCAAGCGTTGCGTGAAGACCAACCTGCGCCCAGCCTGGCCCGTTAATTACTCACTTGTCTTTTTTTTTTTTTTTTTTTTTTTTTTTTTTTTTTTTTTTTTTTAATTCAGTTTTTGTTTTGTTTTGTTTTTCTTCATTTTTTATTTCCTCTCATTTTCCCTTTTCTAATCACACATACAAAAACTCATCAAAAACCACACCAAAACCCTCACTATTGAGGATGTCCGAAATGATAACAAAGAAGGCACTCATTATTGTTGTCTTTTTCTTTAAAATTGATACGGAGTAAAAGTCTTTTTACTCTTTAAACTTGAATTTTTCTACAATAATTAAAATAAATTTTAGATTTAGTTTGAACGTCAGTGTCATGTAATATTCATGAAGCACACACATTTCAAAATTAATCATGTTATATGCCAATTCGTTTTTATCCCCAAAAAAAAAAAAAAAAATGATGGGGCAAATAATGCTTATTGCATAAAAGAGAACGAAAAGAAAATAGGAGGAAAAGAGTAAAAATTATAAGTGTAGTTGATGAACCAAAAATAAAATTAATTCTTTATCTTTGTAAGAGTAAATTTGATAAGTGTTAAGTGTGAATAATGAATTGAAACTTGACTAAATTTATTTTTTTTAAACAATTTTTTTGTAATATTTAATTTAATATTAATATGTAAAATTCTTATAATTATAAATTACATTAAGAATACTATAGATTTAAGATTATAAAAAATTTTAAAAATAAAACCTGAATGAAGAGCTAGTTAGACCAAAGAACAATAAATAGGATGGTAAAATCGAATAAATAGGACACATTTGGATCCTTAATTTTTCGAATCAATAGTTAGTTTAAAATATTTAAGATGTCCTTATAGAAAAATATACTCACATGAAGTAAAAAATTCTAATTACATGTTAACATTTTACTGAAGAAATATAAGAAAAATGAATAAAAACAGTAACACGTCCTTTCTTGTTAATCAATTAAAACATGTCATGTTAGCATGCAATAAAAAAATGAAAGTATATGTAATATTACATGTTCTTATATAATGAATGATAAACTTTAGTCAAAAATAAAAATATTTTGAAAGATTATAGGCGCATTTAATTAATTAAAAAAATACCGAGTGCAGTGTTTACAAGATTAAAATGTGTGGTCAAAATTTGAAAATAAAAATATGAGTGCAGTTAAAGAAGAAATCTGATAATTCGTATTTGTTTATATTTTATTTTAAAAAAACTATTAACTATTTATATATTCATACACACTTCCTCACCAGGACTATGTGGTCCAATGGTACCCGGGTTGGACTTCCATGTGGAAGGTTGTGAGTTCGAACCTCGGTGGAGGCGTTATTAGCTCTTTGTGTCTCTTTGTGTTTCAATAGGTTGAGAAAGTATATGAACAGATACTACAATGTAATATAGAGCTAGTAGCATTCAAAAAAAAAAAAAATACACACTTCCTCAACCTACTAAAGCTTAAAGAGAATCAATATCCTAACAATAGAGTTCAAATCTGAGGCCTCTCACTCGACAACAAGGCCTTTGGCATATGGTACCCCGTATTAGGTAGCACTTTTGCACTTCTGACAAAACACGAACAGAGTTAGGTAATTGCAATGATACTCACGTGACACTTTACACAGTCTTTCAAAAGTTGGAAATGGCAATGATTTAGTATAGGTTTCGATTAGACTAAGAATGCAATGCTTTGTCTTCTGGTACAATTAAGCATGTCTTAACAAAGGAATATATTATATGCAGTCCCATTTTTTTTACTTCCAACTTGTACTTCCTCCCACAAATTCTTAATGTAAATATACACATTCCCTGAGATTCATATGATAAAAATAACCAATCTTTATTTGCCATAACATAAAGTACAAATGAAGAAATGGAATTTAGGAGTACGTAGAACTCTAAAATCCTTCTTAAACTTCTTATATGGTCCTTGCCTCAACCAAGTTCAGGTCGAAAAAAAACAATCAAAAGAGGTCTCAAAAGAACTATCAAACTTGTTATTTCAATAAATGCCTGAACTAACAAGTTTGATAAACGTGACAAATAGAGATACTACCTATATAAAACTAAATTAAAGCCTCGTTCAAACCAAACTCCTCCTAAATAATAAGAACATAACTACATAAACTTGCTCTTAACAATATTTATTATAAACTCCTAACATAAAGTTGACATCCCAAACTCATTATTGTTCATCATTGGCGCAGCATAATAAGTGAGTTGGCAACAATGATGCGCAGGTGAAAAAATCATTCCCAGGCCAAATGGGATGTAGTACAAAAGGAAATCACAATCATCATTTTTTCTTGTAATCACAAACAGAAAAAAGCTCATCTACACATGCATGCAACCTACGAATTGTTGAGTTTCATTTTGTCTCCTGTTCAAAACAAGATTATGTTCTCTGATTTCATGATTCAACAAATAAAAAACTAACGATTCTCATTAATATCAACAAAAAACAAGAATGCCATGGATGATAGATTGCTAGATCACTATGAATATGACTAATGAATTGAATCGATTCTCTCTTATCTGTTCTGATTATCCGCTAAAAACTAAAAAAATTCATGAATTTATCGGAAAAGAATGACCGGCACCGATGCATTTTTCAGATTGTGGACCGGGCGTTCATCAAATCCGAGGGGCAACGCCGGTAGCTGAGGCGGTTGTGGTGGCGCCGGTCAAGAAAGAGAGGAAGCCCATGGTGGGAGGCTCTTGTTCGTCGAGGAAGAGATCTTCTGGGTCCCGGAAAGCGGCGTGGGCGCAGACGGCGGCGACGCCGACCATCAGGGCGGAGACGAGGACGGAGCCGACGTTGGTGAGGAAGATCACGATGATGGTGGTGACGACGAGGCAGCCGAGGGTTTCCCTGTCGGAGAACTGGCGGCCGCAGAGGATGAGGGGCTGGTCGGAGGGGCGGAAGAGGTAGAGGAAGAACCACGCCGCCAGGAGGCCGGCGAGGAAAATGAGCGAGAAGGGGTTGGTGATGAGGGACACCCCGAGCACGACGGCGATCAGAGCAAGGTAATTGATCCGGAAATACGCGTAGTTCTTCCGGATTCGGAGAGTGGCATCGGCGAAAGATTCCGGCTTCGAGATGGCGGAGCGATCAACGAGCTCCGCCCAGGGACGGCGGTTGGAAAGCCCGTAACGAACGGTATCAGATATGTTATTGATGAAAGCACGAAAAGCAGGGGTGGGTCCGACGGCGCTGTCAGAAACTACGGCGGGTTGCGAGCTAGAAATCGGAAGAACCGCCGGCGACGAATTGGCCATTGTTTCCGGTTGATTCAGAAAAAAAAACCGACGGGATCTGGTTCCAGAGAAATAAATCAAAATATACTGCGTGAATACACAGAGAATCGAGAAGAAATTATGAATTTTATACGGAAAGATTTCAGCTTTTCTTAATCGATACGTTTCTGGGATGGAGAAAAGAGAATGTACTTTCGCCGGTCGAGGAAGATGGAAATTTACGCGGCGTCTACTTTTCAGTAATTATTTATTTAACATTATTGAGAGTTTCTTAATTTGGCATTGTAATGACCAAATCAAAAGGATTAAGACTTCGTTTAGGCGTATGGTACGAGGAATTCGATCCCCAAATTCAGATATTATTGACAGCACTAATATATACAGACGTATAAATGAAATCCTACCTTTTCCACTCATAACGCGCATTACTAGTGTTAATTGTGATGCATTAGTTTTATTGTTTTGTTTTTTTTGTTTTTTTTTGTTTTTTTGTTTTTTTTTTTGAATTTTTATACTACTAATCCTATTACAATGTAGTATCTATTTCTATACACTTTCTCAACATACTGAAGTACAAAGAGTTTCTCAACTTATTGAAGCACAGAGAATCAATACCCGCACTGAAGTTCGAATATACAGAGCCACAAAGATGTTATTGAGCTAAAAAGTAAAAACTATGATAAGTCATGGTATAAATCATGACAAACATAGCACAGAAATGTCATATGTAGTTTCTATTTGGGAGGGGGGGGGGGGGGGTGGGGGTGGAGGGAGGAAGCAAATTATTATGTAGACCATGGTTCACACAGTATCACACAGTACTGCGTAAATCATAAAAACGTATGTTTTTTTTTTATCAAAATATAAAAAAGAAATATTTTTAATATACTAAAAGTACATTATTTATGTACTGAATGTAATATTATTGTATTTTTAGTATTCAAATAATGTACTCTCCTTGAATATATGATATATTTTTATTAATATACTAAAAATACATTGTTTGATTTTATACAAAATGATATACTTTCAGTACTCAATATATTCTCAAGAAAAATGGGTTTACCTATTAAGAAAAGGGCCAAATATGATTCGAAACATATGCCAATATGTGGAAAACCTTTTTTGTGTGCACAATATTGTACTATATTAGTTGAATTTACAAACATTGTTTAGACTATGTAGTCCGGCCTCTTCATCAAGTAGTTAGGCAACCATCACTTTTGGCTAGATCAAAACATTTGAAAATGCCTCGCAATGGTTTATGGGTGGGGCCCGATTCATACCGAAGACATGATAGATGAAGTTCATTGAAAGACCTAAAATTGAAAAATTTGATCAAATGAAGATTCCTTAAGTGTAAAATGTATTGGTAGAGGTATAAACTGCAGATTGATTGCACGAATCATGATTTATTTCCTTCAATATTCTTAGGTTGGACATGATTCTAATGGCTTATATAATATTAGTCTAACGTTTGGTAAATATTAAACTTGTATGAGTTTATATTTTTAAATGATAATTGTTTAGTTTAAAAAATTGTAAGGTCTCCAAAATTTCAATCAATATTTAATGTTTGAAATCAAGAGATGTTCAAATTTTTTTGAGTACTACTCGGCCCCTATTAGGCTCAAACCCATGACTTCTTATTTGGGAGAGTCACTTCATGTCACTAGATCACAAGATCATTGGTAAAAAATGTCCAAATAATTTCGTTGATGCCAAGTTTTTCCGGACTAACTTATACTAAAAAAAAAAGAAAAACCGAAATATCAACAAATTTAGCAATGTATTAAATTGTTATACCTTAAATATCTATGAATTTCAATATTGTACTAACAAAATAACTTAAATATATACTAATTTCAGTAATTTGTCTATGGATTTTTTTCATTAGTAAATTTGATTTTCATTGTAGTGTTAACCCTCCAATATAGCAACTAGAATTACTGTACTTGCCGAAATCAATGTTGGTTGTATAAGCATTTCATTCGAGTTGAATAGATTATAGATATATGTCACATCTTTGTATATAAAACTAGAAAAAGCAATCACGATTCTAGTCACAAGAACAAAATCCATTTAAAGGAGATGTATATGCCTCCAAGAAAGCTTAATATAACTAAACTGAGTTTTTTTATACTTACATTGCATTCAAAAATGTTTCAAAATAGGATAACAATAAATCTATATGTTAGATATATACACCGACCTACTAGGCCTGAGCTAGTGAGCCTTAACTAGAAAATACATAATGGGATGTTTGATAACTTAGCTTAATAACCATTTACCAAACATGGTCAATATTGTAGTAAATTTGGCTTATTGAGCCAACAACGTAATCTATTTCAACCAAGAGCAAAGATATAAAAAATGTGAGCTAGAAAAACATCCGAGTAATTAATTAACCTAGACAAATTAGCCCGACCCATTGCAATGTCAATAGCAAGGGCAATAGAAAAATCAACTAAGGTTATGTTTGAGAGAGTAGTGAGATTATAGTAGTTAGAGCGACAGAAGCAAGATTGGAGTGGTGACAGTTAGATTGGAGCAATAACAGTTATAACAAAGTTATGAAAGAAGTGTTTGTTTAGAAAAATAATAGTGGTGGTGAAATTGAAATGTTAAATTATCATTATGGACATTTGCATTAAATATACGGAAAATTGTATTTTTGATTCCTGAGTTATACTCAAGTTAAACTCAGTTCCCGAGTTATGACTATATCCATTTTTAGTTACTCAGTTATTAATGAAGTGGCGCATTTGGTCTCCAACCGTTAGAATTTTTGGAAAAATTAAAAAATATTTAAAATTTGAGAAGTAAAGTAGGGAATTCACATTTTATTCTCCTTCTTATATCAAAATCACTTTCACAAAATTATTTTTCACTTCTTAGCATCTTATTTCAAGATTGTTCAATTGTAAAAGCATTTCAATATAATTTTAGTATGACTTGTTAGGAACCTGACTCTCGTATAACAAACTTAAGACTTAGCACAAACAAAGAAACACTTGATCATTGCCTTCAGACGTGTGAAACACACCGTACTATCCTATCAATTTTCAATTTTCTTTACTAAGCAACAAACGTAATCAAACCATAACTTTTGAGATACAAAATTATGTCAAATTTCTCAGGTTGCTTTTATGAGAAATTCACCAACAGAATAACTTGAGATTTTTAGTATGTAAATTTTTTTCATATGCAGTAGTTTAGTCAATAATTGTTTTTAGAAGTTACAAAAGTTTTTAGAATTTTCATAACTGAGTATTAGGTTCCTCATTTATTACTGTGGTTTTTAAGAAGACAGATGAGGTGATGGATCTATATATAATATAATTTTCATATATTATCAGGTTATACGATTCTTGATTAAGTTACTGCAGAGCTTACAAAAGAATTTTACGTACTAAAAATATCAAGTTACTCCCTTGGTGAATTTGTCATAAAAATAACCCGAGAAATTTGATGTCTTCTTGTATTTCAAAAGTTATGGTTTGATTACAATTATGTTTAGTGAGGGAAATCAGAAACTTTTAGATGGTGTGTAGGGATGTCAATTGTACCCGCACCCGACGGGGAACTCGATTCTCCGCCCCTACGGGGACGGGGATGGGGATAGAAATAGGGGATCGGGGATGGGGATGGGGGCAATTTTGAATTCCCCGCCGGGGACGGGGACGGGGATGGGGAGTACTCTCCCCGTCCCGCCCCGTCCCCGATGTATGTATGTATGTATGGGGAGTACACACACATATGTATTACTTTGTATACAATATATATAATTTTAGAAGCATTCTTGTCATTGTTTGTCATGCTTATGAAATGCATATTTAAATAACATGTTTAATTGTAAAATATTAAATACTATTTTAAATTGGGGATGAATATATATACGTTATTTATTTAAATGTTTTTGAATGTTTAATTTTTAATTTTTTTTATAACTGGCGATTCCCCGTCCCCGAATAATCCCCGTGGGGATGGGGATGGAGGGAGTTTTCCATTCCCCGGCGGGGATGGGGACGGGGACGGGGAATGGGAAAAAAGTCGGGGGCGGGGATGGGGGGTATGTCCCCCGCCCCCACCCCGCCCCGTTGACATCCCTAATGGTGTGTTCTTGCTTGAATATAATGATTAACTGTTCTCTTGTTTGTACTGAGTCACAGGTTCCTTATACGTGACTCAGGTTACTAACAAGTCATACGAAGATTATTGAATTGCTTTTGGAATTGAAGAACCTTGAATAGAATGCTAGGAAGTTGAAAATAATGTTGCAAAAGTGGTTTCAATATAAGAAAGTGAATAAAATGTGAATTTCCTACTTTACCCCTAAAAGTTTAAATATTTTTTAATTTTTACGTCAGTTTTAACGGTTGGGAATCAAATGCGCCACTTTGCTCATAACTGAGGAACTAAAAATGGATACGGTCATAACTCAGGGACTGAGTCGTCACTACCATTATAACTCAGGAACCAAACTCACCATTTCCCCTTAAATATATAGATAATAGGTTTTGTTTTTTTTTTTTTTTTTTGTTTTTTTTTGTTTTTTGTTTTTTGTTTTTTGTTTTTTGTATTAATAGATTAATTTTTATTCAAAATTTTAACATATAAATAAAAATAAATTTAATTTAATTTATAATATAAGAATTGTAACCTAGTTTTATTATTTATTTATATTATTTTCACAAAAAAATATTCATTATAATAAATATATTTATTAATTAATATAAAATTATTTTATTTATTAATATTAAATTAATTAGTGAAGCCAAGCAACGCAGAGAGAGTACACGAGTAAGGAAATCTTAATTTACCATAAATTCAACTCTTAAAATCAAGCACAACATTCATGTATAATCATTTCAGCCTTCAAAACACATACCAAAACTATCAAATCTGAAATCACCCTTATGTAAATAAAAAGGCAAATAAATATGAAAAATAAACAACTATACGCATAATAGAGATGAACAACTCATTTGAGATCAAATACGACAAGCTTCCCGAGTGCAGATGTGCGGATTCATTTGGTCCGTCCATCTAACGTGTTCGAAAATGTATCACAATGAAATACACAAATGCATCACACCTAATGGTGCATTTCTGAATATTTTATTGTGCATTTATGTGTACCTAAGGTGAGTTTCCACATAGGAACTTGACCCTAATGGCGAGTTTCGTCTTGCCACAAATGTTTTCTCATTCGTTTCCACATTTGGCCACTTGATTCATTTGATCTTCCAAGTTCCGGATTGATGCTTGAGTCTCTTGCCTTAGATCTTGCTTCTATTCTTGCCGGAAGTGGTGGTGGACATCTTAGTTGATTTTCC